ACGAACCTGTGTCCCCTGCATCGGCAGGTGGACTCTCAACCACTGCGCCACCAGGGAAACCCTTTGCCCATTTTTAGATTGAGTTATTTGTCTTTTTATTGTTGTCAGGATAGTGTATATATATTGGATACAAGTCCCTTATCAGATATATCATTTGCAAAAAATTTTTCCCCGGGCTTCCCATGGGCCCATAAGCCATGGCCGCTGAGCCTGCGCATACGGAGCCTGTGCTCAGCAACGGGAGAGGCCACAACAGTGAGAGGCCCGCGTATCACACACACACAAAAAAATTTCCCCATTCTTTTCACTTTTTTTTTTTTTAAGAATTTATTGTACCTGAAATAAAACACATGTCGCATACCCTTTACCATCACCATTTTAAGTGCACGTTTCTGAGGCATCAGATATATTCACCTTCTCGTGGAGCCATCACCACCATCCCTAGAACTTTTCATCTTGTAAAACCAAAATTCCGCAACCATGAAATTCTCACTCCCCATCCCCTCCCACTGCCCCTGGCAACAACATCCACTTCGGTCCCTGAGTTGTTGACTCCAGAGCCCCCATTGGGTGGAATCCTGCAGTGTTTGCTGCAGGGTCATTTTGGAAGAGCTGACTTGCAGTCTGAAGCTCTGCCTGTTTGGACCTAAAGAATCTGCATTTAGGGAGAGAGTGTATGAAGAAGGGGGTATACAAGGGACAAGGGTGTCTGGGGTGACTTTTCACTTTTCTGATGGTCTCCTTTGAAACACAAAAGTTTTACATTTTTATTATGGGACTGTACTGTTCTTTAAATAATATAATTCAATTTAATGTGGCATTTTTGTGTAGCAAACTTAATGAAGTCTTAAAGGCTGCAGAAGAAGTTTCCATTGTAGCAGTGAAAGCAGCCTCAAATTTCACACGGGACATGCCTCCTCTGGGCTCCCTTCAACCAACTTTTGGGTTCCTCCTCCCATTCATTCTCAACCACCCTGTCTCCCATCAACGCTGGATTCCAACCTCTTCTGCAAATCAGAGTGATTTGGGTCTGTCAAGTTCCTGCCACCGAACTTCACCCCAGCTCCATCAGTTCTCAGAAGAAACAAAGGGCTTTCTCTCCCGTCATTTTTACTGTCCTCCTGGTGGGGCTGACAAGCTCTTCAAATACAAGTTTCCTCCTCCTCATACTTCACAAGGATCCTAACAGAGGCCCAGATGGCTTTCTGGTGGCCTTGAATTTTCAGGTCCCAGGCTGGTTGAAGACACCTGGCTGTCGCCCTCCTACTGGTCTGCTGCTCGTGACCGAGGTGGGCAACATCCCCACTGGCCTCAGCTCTGGGCAGCACTGTGGGGCCACTGAAGCTGGGTACCAACCAAAGAAGTGGCTGCTAAGTGACTCCACAAATGGGGGGTGGACCTCTCTCAACCAAGGCCATCAGCTGGGCTTTGTAGACAACAGGAAGGGGTTGGCCCCTGGGAGAGAGAACATGGCAGAGACACAGAAAAGCCACAAGGCAGAGACACAGAGATGACAGCTGCTGGCCCAGCTCCCTTGCCCAGCAGGGCCACCCCCACCCCCACCCCCACCCCAGCTTGTTCAAATGCAGATTCATGGCCCCAGCCCCAGAGTCAGCATTCAGAGCGAGGGCATGGAATCTGCATTTTTAAGTTTAGTGGGTCATTCTGTTGTGTAATATTCCAAAAGCATAGTTGCGGAGGCACTGATTTAGATCCTGAGTTCTGTGGATAGTGGGCAGGGGGGAGGTTGCAGTGGGGTCAATGAGGTGGCCCAGGTTCCACGCACTCATCACCCAGGAAAGCTGAGGAGCCAGTGACCCTGTACTGAGAAGGGACCAGTCCACTGTCTTTCTACCAGCATTGAGCTGATGGAGCCAGGCAGTTCAGGAGGTGGCAGAGGCTCAGGTGTGGAGGTGGGGAGAGGCGTTTTAGGGACAGGATGGTGACCTATTGAACGTAGGCATTTCTGGTACCAGCGTGGTGACTAGAAAGAAGGTCCACCCAGAACTTGGGACACCTGGTGCTCAGGGATGGTCTCAGGGCTGGGTTTGGGGTCCCCACCAATATGGCTTGACTGGGACTTCATGGAAGCAGGGCAGGGTGAGAAACGTCAGAGCAGCGGGTGGAGAGCCAGCCTGGGGTTCAGCGACCCGGGCAGGCCTGTCCTGTAAAGACCCGAACAGCTTGGGACAGCTGCTGTTGTCAGGCGGGTCCAAGGCTGCAGGGAGTCAGCTGGCTGAGCTCCGGGAAAGGCTAGGTATTCCGGGAAAATAAGAGTCCTGCGGGGTCGAAGCCAGGCCGGAGTCTGGGTTGCCAGGGGAGGGGGAGGAGAGAACTAGGGGGCCAAACACGTGGGGCATTCAGTGGCAGGGCTAGTCCTGTCACCACCCCTTGGCCTTCCCAGGGCTTAACTCCACCCTCATCCGCCCAGGTGCATCCTCGCTGAGCTCCGCCTCCGGGGACAGAGGGCCCGCGGTGGGAGATCTGGTCCCTTCCGTGTGGCGGGCTGTCCCCCCTCAGCGGGAGGCGAAGCCCCCCACCAGCAGGGGCAGAAGGGGCAGCAGGGGGGGCACGGACGGCCGCCCTGCCGCCTGACTGATCTCGCACTGACAATCGCAGGCTCCTGGCTTAAGGGTCGCTTTGGGGGGTCTGGGGGCGGAGCAGTCCAGAAACTTAGGGCCCATTGGTTGGGGGGAGTCCTGATCGGCTTTGACGCTGCCCTTGGGGAAGCGCCAGTAGTGGGCGCCCTTGAAGAAGTAAGTGTCACCTGCGGGGATGGAGCAGATGCTTCAGGGGCTGGTCCAGGCCTGCCCCTCCCCCTCCCCCCGTGCAGCTTCTCTCCCCAGGGCTCTCCAAAACCCCGGGACGTCCTCTAGCTCCCCATCCCTCGGCCTCTCCCCGCAGGCGCTCTCTCCCACCTGTGTTGCTGACGGTGACGTCGTCGGGGGCGTGCGGTGCCCCCTCCCAGAGGCTCAGGTCGCGCGGGTAGCCGGGGTCCGGGCGCGCTGCCGCCTCGTCGTACCGCCAGTACCGCCTGCCCCGGATCAGGTAGGTCTTCCCGTTCAGCGGCCAAGAAAACACGGCATCCACCTCCTCTCCCGGGGGCAGCCCCAGCTCCGTGAGCGGCCGCGCGGCGCCCTCCAGCTGCCGGTCCTGGAACACCCAGAACTGCGGACCTGAGTGGGGGAGGGGGGGAGGGGCAGTGAGCGGCGCTGCGCATGCCCGGAGCCAGCCACGCCTCGAGCCCCACTCACCGCTGAAGAGAAGGATCCGGCCGTCGGGATGCCGGGCGTAGGCGGCCTGGATGACCTTCACCTGGGCCGGCAGCCCCTCCCAGAAGCGGTGGAGCCGGGCGGGCCGGGGGGACACCAGCTGTCCCGAGGGCTGGAGGCGCCAGAACCACGGGCCTACGGGGGAAGAAGGGGTGGGCATGTGGGCGTGAGATGAGACGGCAGGAGGTCTCCTCCCCGCCCCCTCCGCCCGCCCCCAGTGTGTGGCTCGAACACAGCGCTAGGTTTCCCCTCCCACCGCAGGTCTGCAGTGGCTCTAGGGTGACCGGCTTGATCCAGGGCTTTCCTCTTTTTAGCACTGAAAGTCCCGCATCCCTGCGAACCTCACAGCCCCGGCGGGCGGGTCACTCTAAGTGGGTAGGAAGCCAACTATATGGGGTCGGGGAGGTCCGAAGTCACTTACCTTTGAAGAAGAAAGTTTCGCCTCGGATGTTGGCGATGGCGTCAAAATGGCCATCACATCGATCAGGAACGGGCTGGAAGGGGCTGGGAGGGAAAAGGGAGGTGAACAGAGAGGGTTGGGGGGCCCCTCTCCCTTTACTTAACCTGGACAGCATCCTACAAGGCAGGGACTCTTACCTGCCCATCTCGTGTAGGAGGACCCTGAGGTTAGGGAGCTCATTCAAGGCCTCACAGCAGGAGAAATACTCACCTGTCCGGGGGCAGGGCAGGGGGCGGGGGAGGAGGAGCCAGGGGCTTCCTTGTGGGCTTGTCAAGTGGGGTTTGGGGTGCTTTCCCTGTGGAGAAACCGTTAGAGAGCGGTGAGTCCCCTGACCCTGCTGCAGAGGCTACCCGGTGAGTGCCCCATCGCTCTTTGTACCGTAGAGCTGTTGCAGGCCTTCGAGGTCGTCCTGGGACAGGCGGTACTCGGTGGGGTTGCCCACCGGGCCCTGGTAAAAGGGCCTCATGATGGAGTTGGGCGCTGAGGAGTGGCCCAGGCCCAAGGCGTGGCCAAACTCATGAACAGCCACGGCAAACAGGTCCGTCCCTTCGCCATCTGGGGAGGGAGGGAGAATGGGCTGGAGCTGTGCCCCACCCCTACCCCTAGCACCCCAGGCCCCGGGGAATGGGGCCTTCTGCTGGACAGAAACAGCCAGGAGACACTCAGAGGTGGCCATGGCCTCCTCTACCCAGACACCCGCCCCCACCCCCCCCAGCCATTTTATCCTTCCTCTCTGCATTCACGTATTTGGTAAATGTTCTTGAGTAGCCTTGTTTGACAGTGCTAGATACTGGAGTGCCAGTCTGAAAAGACCCACAGAGCAGGTTGGGGGAAGAGCAGGAGGAAACAGTGTGAATAGAGGAAGGAGCAGCTTTACACTGATGAAGCCCCTCCCCCAAGAAGGCAACATACAGAAACATTCTGGGGGAATCAGGAGCCTCAGGGTGTGTGCAGTTCTCTTAAGGGAGCTTTTTCTCTCAAGGGAGCCCTTGGAGTACCCTTCTCACAGCTCCAGTCTGTTGGCAGAGGCCCCCCACCCCTCCAAACCCTTCCCACTCCCACCCATGGGGAACGATGGTCAGACTTCATGGCCCCACTCCCGCCCCATGGTCCGCCGTCCCGGGTTCCCCCCCCCCCCCAGTGCCCACAACCCCTCAGTCCTCTACTTCCCCTCCCCCATCTTCCTCTCCCACAGCCTCCACCCCCACCCCCACCTCCCTGGGGTCCTCGCCTTCCCTCCCCACCACTGCAGACTTCATCCCTCTCAGAACACGAAGCTCCAGCAGGGACTCTCCAACCACAGCCTGCTAGCCCTGGCGCCCAGCCTCTCTGACCACAGAAGCCTCTCCCTTGGGGACACAGCCCAGGCGCCAGGACCTAGCCTCTCCACACTCCCAGCTGCTGGCCAAACCCCAGCGCCTCATCGATTCCTGAGCCAGTGAGAGGCCAAGGAGGGACAGAGACAGCAAGAGAGGCAAGCAGCCCCGCCTGGAGGTATGGATTTCCCCAGATGTTCATCTACTTCATGGAAATTTCTAACTAGAGTGAGCAGTGCTGCATGTGGGTTTATTGGAAGTAACCTGGTGAACTGAAAAGCAAATTTCTCTCCACCCCTCAAGGCCACTAGGCGAGAATCTAAGGATGAAATGAGTGAGTCATTAGCAGAGTAGGAAAACACTTGTCCCCACTTACTTTTCACAAACCTCTACCTCCTATCCCCATTTTACAAGTGAGGAAACTGAGGCACAGAGAGGTCAAGTTAAATGACAGAGCTGGTACCCTGGCTGTGCTGTCCTGCAGCTCAGCAATGATTTCAGATGTCTTGGTCAAACTCATAAGTACTGATGAATTCCCATGTTGACTGTGGATTTTCTCACTGCACTGAGTGCTTTTTCTAAGAAATTGGAGGACAGGACATTTGGTGTCTTAATTGGGTAGATCTTTTTCATATCTCACCACTCCCCTCCACCCCGCCTTGCCTCTCCTTTGGCCGCACCCCTTTCTTGCACCCTTCTCACGCTATTCAGCTGGGGAAATTACACAACCATGCAGATCCAGCCACGTGAGACTCCCGGTGCCCATCTCTGGGGGTCCTCAGCACCTCCTCTCATCCTTGCCCACAGCCTCAGCAGGCAGCTCCTTTGCTCTCTCCACTCAGCTTCAATTCCAGACTCATAGCCCCTGCAGCCCGCTCCCAGCCCCAGCCCCAGCTCCCAACTCTTAGATGACAAATGCTGACAAATGCATTTCCTATTTCATCAAGACAGGCCGCTGATGTAATCTGTAACTTCCTGTGCATCGGGCACAGTGCTTCATCTCCCCCAGCTCACCTCCTGCCTCTTGCCGTGCCCTGGGCGGAGGTCCTTGCCTAGCTCACCTCCTCCAGGACAAGGACAATGCCCCACCCATCCGTTCATCACTGCATTCATGCATGCATGCATCCAGCTGTCCATCCATCCATCCATCCATCCGTGTGTCCATTCATCCATCCATTTATCCATCCATTAATCCATGATCCATCCCCCACCCCTTTCTTTCTATTGGCTCATCCACTGTCCCTGAGTGCTCAAGACTCCCTCATCCTAAGACCTGTCTGCCCCCCATCCATATCCCTTCTCCCTCCCCAACAAGTTCTCTGGTCAGTGGTCTGAACTCAGCCTTCAATTCCTCAGCTCCTCTCATGCCTCTGTGGTCTAGATTCTCCCACCACCCACCAAGCCTGTGGGCACTAAGGTCACTTTTCCCCAGAGGGTCAGATCCAGGCATAAATAACTTACTGGACGATTTGCTGCCCTGCTCACTCCTGTCCACTTCCTCCTTTTCTTTTGTTCTTGGTCACCTTTCAGCCTGTTTTTTTGTTTGTTTGTTTGTTTGTTTTTGCGGTACGCGGGCCTCTCAGTGTTGTGGCCTCTCCCATTGTGTGATTTGCTGCCCTGCTCACTCCTGTCCACTTCCTCCTTTTCTTTTGTTCTTGGTCACCTTTCAGCCTGTTTTTTTGTTTGTTTGTTTGTTTTTGCGGTACGCGGGCCTCTCAGTGTTGTGGCCTCTCCCATTGTGGAGCACAGGCTCCCGACGAACAGGCTCAGCGGCCATGGCTCACGGGCCCAGCTGCTCCGCGGCATGTGGGATCTTCCCGGACCAGGGCACAAACCTGTGTCCCCTGCATCGGCAGGCGGGCTCTCAACCGCTGCGCCACCAGGTAAGCCCTCAGCCTGGTTTTTCTCCATTTCCTTTCATTCCTCCTTCCCTGCCACCCTCCTCTTAATTATGGGATGCCCCACAGCTCTGAACTTGATCATCATATTCTACATTCTCCTGGAACCTTACCCCCAAGTACTGCCAACTCTCAAATCTGCCACCAGACCCAGCTCATAGCAGCTGGCAGTGAACAGCCTGCTCTGTGCTGAGAGCTGTAGGTGAATTATTCGTCTAATCTGCAAGCCCATGGGACCAGCACATACTATTATTATCCCCACTTCTCAGATGAGGAAACTGAGCACATTGAGGTCAAGTAACTGATACACGCAGCAGGCAGAAGAACCCGGAGATCTTAAATTCTGCATTACATAGCCTCCCTATGGTGAATTTGTCTATCTATGTGATCTGCACCTCACCCAAATCCTCTACAGAGCCTGTGTGCCCATCCTCCGGCCACCCCCTTCCCCAGGAAATGGCTCTCCCTCCTGGCCCAGCCTCCCCTTCCCTGAGCAGTCTGCAGCCAGTAGCTGATTGATGTGGGGGGCAGGGGGCTGGAAGAGCTGGCCCCCCTTCCTCCAGGCAGAACCAGCCCTGTGGCATTATTTATGCTCCAGTGTTCCCTGTGGGGTCAGGCTCCTGTCCAGCTGAGACCACATCCTTGCTTAGCTTCTCTCCCCAGTCCTCTCCTGCTTCCCTTTCCCCTGAGAACATGCCCCCAAAAACTGCTTGCACAAGAATTTTCCTCTCAAGCTCCAGTTCTGGGGAACCTGACCTAAGTTGGAGGAATCCAAATTCTAGTGCAAGATACCCGACCACTAACGCACCACCTGCACTGACCAGCCAACCAGCACTGCAGGCACACGTCCCAACCTGAACTCACCCCTGCCTTCCCGAGTCTGCTTCTCCTCCTCCCCCACTTCCCACCTGCATTAACAGGACACCATCCTCCAGGGGCCTTGAGCCAGAAACCTGGCTGGTACCCAACCATCCTCACCCCCTTCGCCCCTAGAACCCAGTCAGATCCCAATCTTTGCCCATCCTGACTAGACTCCCCTCAGAGCTGCCCATTGCCCTCTGCCCCCACTCCCATCCCCTCCACCATCTCTCACCTGGACCCCAAGATAGTTTCCTGCTTCCCTGTCCCTATCTTGCCCCCAACGGCAGCCAGTGGTATTTCTAGAATGCAAAACCTTCCAGTTCCCACTGCCTTCAGAATCCTATCATCCAGACCCCGCCATGTGCTGTCCAAGACCCCTCGTGGTGTGAGACCTGCCCTCCAGCCTCTGTAGTCCCCTCCCAACACCATATTTTTGCCTTCCAGCCCCAAATGTCCCAGGCCGTTTCTCCCCCCAGTGCTCCCACCCCAGACTCCCCTGGCCTCAGAGAGCTCACTGGCTTGTGCTTTCTTATGTGTCCCCCCCGCTCTCCCTCACCCCCACCCCCCCCCCCACCCCTGCCCTGCATACGCCGGGAGAGTGGGACCTCGGGCACTAGTTGGCACTCAGTATATATGTGTGGAACAAACAAAGTCACCACTTCCAGGAAGTCCCCGGCACGCGAGCTTTGGATCAGCCTTCCTTTGAGCACCCCCAGGCTTGAGGACATCCTCTGTTGTGATTCCCCGTGGTTGTGTCACCATGTGTAGCAATTGCCAGTTACTCTTCTGACTCAGCTGCTGGCAGAGCTGTGTTTTTGCCCCTTTAAGTCCTTGGAGCTGAGCATCTAACAGGACTCTGTGATGGGCAATTTTCTGTGTTAACTCGGCCAGACTATGGTGCCCTGATGCTTGATCAAACACCAGTCTAGATATTGTTGTGGAGGTTATTTTATAGACATGGATAACGTCTATATTCAATTGACAGTAAGTAGAGCAGATCACCCTCCATAGCGTGGGTGGGCCTCTTCCAATCAGTTGAAGGCATTAAGAATGAAAACTGAGGTTTCCTGGAGAAGAAGGAATTCTGCCTCAAAGACTGCAACATAGAAATCCTGCCTGGGTTTCCAGCTGGCTTGTTCTGCAAATACCGGACTCAAAAGTGCACCACCAAGTCACCTGAATTTCCAGCTTGCAGGCCTGCCCTACAGATTTTGGGATTACCAGCCTCTGCAATCCTATGAGGCAATTCCTTAAAATAAATCACTTTCTACACATACATACACACACACACATATCCGACTGGTTCTATTTCTCTGGAGAAGCCCAACTGATACAGCCTCCATAAATGTAATTTAAACTTAATTCTTAAGGACAGACAGATCTGGGGAGAGGGTCTCTCAGAAGAGGGGAGATTGTACCTTTTGACCCAAAAGTCCAGGTCTCCTCATCATCGAAGTGAGTGTCCCCAGAGATGGAGTGCTCCCCAGGGAAGAAGGCATGGGCGAGGGTGCCCCCCTGCCCGTCGAAGGGGTAACTGTCCTGGTGATAGGCCCGGGCAAAGTCGATGAGGATATCAGGCTCCATCGGGCCCTGAGAACCCACTTCCTGGAATTCGAGGCCTGACTCAACACCCCAGGTGGTCAAGGCATGGTGCATGAGGGTCCGCACTGTCTCCTGGCTCAGCACTGAGCCCTGGGGGAAGGAGTTTACCCTGGAAAGAGGGGGGGCGAGTGAGGGGGGCCGAGGAGAGAGAAGGCAGCCACTCACTCGAAGGTGGGTCAGGCAGGCCCAGGGTGGGAGAGGGCGCCAGGACCTACCTCCACGTCAGGGTTCGCTTCTTCCACACGCTGCCACTCAGAGCATACCGGCGGCGCCGCCTGACCAGCCCCGCCGTCCCCAGCACATCAGGCAGGGAACAGCGGGGCTTATGCATGGTGGCCACTGTCACAGGGTCTGGGGGAGAGGTTGTGGCAGAGAGGGGTCACCAGTAGGCACCAGCTCACTTTCTCCATGGGGAAACTGAGTCTCATAGCGCTTCAAACACTTGCCCAAGAAGGCCCCACATCTTCGATTGGAACCCAGGCCATCTAATTCTGGAAGCCAGCTCATACCAGACTATGACACTGCCCTTCTGGGTAGTATCACTCTCTGCAGGGCCCTGCATGGACTCAAGAGTCTCAGGCCAGGATCTGGGCATCCTGCTTCCCTGAGCCCTGGCCGCTGGCCTCTAGAGAAAGGAACCCTGGGGGTGCAGTGAGAACTACTCTCTTGGAGGCTAGAACCCCCTGGGAGGTTGCCCATACCTCACACGCTAGCTCCCAAGTCCCCATCACATCCAGATAAAGTTGAAAGTCCTCAGGCCAGCTGGGTCTCTGGTCTGTGGCAAGCCCCTCAGATCTCCTGGAATCCCCTTTACCAGCTTGGCTCTATCCCCAGCCGTCCCCTCACTCCAAGTGAAGGTTGAGGGGAAAAAGAGCAATTGAGGGCTTCCCTGGTGGCGCAGTGGTTGAGAGTCCGCCTGCCGATGCAGGCGACACGGGTTCGTGCCCCGGTCCGGGAAGATCCCACATGCCACGGAGCGGCTAGGCCCTGTGAGCCATGGCCGCTGAGCCTGCGCGTCCGGAGCCTGCCACAACAGTGAGAGGCCCGCGTACCGCAAAAAAAACAAAAAACAAAAAACAATTGAGCACATCCTGTTGCCCAAAGGGTCCTACTCCCCTCGTAGCCGGACAGGACCCCTCCACCTCTCTCTTTCTTTCATTTAACCCAACAGACGAGCCTCTCAGCTCTTCCTCCAAAATATACACCCTGGATTCAGCTGCGTCTCATCACATCGTTGCCTGAACACTATGTGCCTACTTCCTGGTCTGGGTGCTCCCCACCCTCCATTCTTCAGCAGTAAGCAGAGGAAGCTTAAAATTGCAAATCACAAAAAAAAAAAAATTGCAAATCACATCAAGTTGCCTCTCTCCCTCAAACCCGCTCAGGGTTTCTTATCACACTTGAAATCAAACCGAAACACCTTTCACTGGCCCCTGATCAGGCTCTTGTTTAGCTCATCAGTCCTCCTTTCATTACAGGCATGCAAGCCAGTGTCTGCCACAGGGCCTTTGCACTTGCCTGGGACATTCTTTTCCCACATCTTCCCATGGCTGTTTCCTCCTCTTTGTGTCCTACGAATTCTTCAAGTCATATGAGCTCCTCCCAACTCATATGACATCTTTCAGAGGGGCCTGCCCTGCCCAGACCAGCTCCCTGAATACCATTAGCATTTTATTTTCATCAGAATGCTTACCACTATCTGAAATTAGTTTGTTCTTGATCTGTGTGTGTCTCCCTCTAGAATGTTAGCTCTGTGAGAGCAGGGACCTCATTTACCTTGTTCACCACTATACCAGCGGAGCCTGAAATGACCTCACATGTCATTTATCAAGAAGAGATTCCTGATAAATATTTACTGAAAGAGGAATATCTTAGAAGCTCCGAGTTGGGACCTGAGGTCAGCATTTCATAGCGCCCGTGATTCAGATACACGGGAGGTTTAGAAACTGCGGTTGGTTGGGTGGGCAACAATGGTCAGGCTGGGCTGGGGGAGGGGGTGGGGGCCACATACCCAGGACGCCTGTCTCCGGCAGACCCGCAAACCTCTGCATGACCTTGATCGCATCCCGCAGCTTTGCAGGGCTCTGCAGCTGGGCCTGGGCAGGGTGAGGTGGCGGCAGGTAGCCATAGCGAGTCAGCCAGTTCTAGACCAGAGAAGGGAACAGGGGAAGCAGGAAAGGTCGAAGAGATGGGACTTTCCCTTCCCACCACCATCCTGGAAGCCCCACCTCTCACCAGACATGGATAGTCCAGAGTCCTCAACCCCGGGTACTGGCCTGCTCCCCATCTCAAGGTACAGGCCCTCCAGCCCTGGGCTTGCCCTTGTTCATCTGTTCCCAAGAGTCCCCACCTCCCCACCATAGCCCCTTTCCAGATTTCCAAATTCGGGCCCCGAACCTCCTGACGAATCCAATAATTCAGGTCCGCTGTCTCCATCCCCGGTCATTCTTTGGACATTTGAACCGCCCCCAGCTTCCTCTGAACCCGGGAGTCCAGGCCCCGGCTTCCCTCTCCCAGCCCCCCTGCAGGTCCAGGAGCCCGCGAACCCCGGCACTCACCACGCCCAGGCTCACGTTCTGCGCGGAGGGCTCCCGGGCGCGCGCGGGCTGCGGCAGCAGCGGGAGCAACAGCGCCAGGAGCCGGAGCATGGCGCGGTCCTGCCCTGGCAACCGGCGGAGCTCGAGGGGACCTGACCCGCGCCGCCCTGGGGATCCGGGGGTGGAGATCAGGGGCCCAGATTGGCTCAGGGGACCCGGCGCCGGATACGAGGAGTGGGCGAGGGCTGGGGGTCCGCTTGGGGATCCGGGACCCTGGGAGGCACGATGCGGGGGGCACAGGGGCGTCCAGCGGAGGGCCGGCAGAGTTGAGAGGGTGCGGGAAGGGGGCGGAAGCTCGGGCTCCGGGTCCGCGACGGCCGCCTCTCGGGGATGCGGGCCGGTCCTGTCCGCGCCGACGGCTCCTCCTCCGGACTGGAGCGGCGGGCCCGGCGGGGAGGGCCGGGTCAGGCGCACCCTACTAGGCGAAGACGGCGCAGCTGGGGAAAGGGCCGGATCTTCGGTCTTCCAGAGAGACCAGGCGGGGCGGGGGGGGTCCTCCGAGCGCTTCACAGATAGCAGGGCGCGGCCCCAGCCCCGGCCGCAAGTTTCTCTTCCCAGATCCCGGCTCCGGTGGGACTCTCCGGAGCGCCGCTCGCTTCTGCTTTCTCAGATACTCGAAGCCGGGCCCGGGGGAGGGGCGGCTCGGGGTCCTCCCCTTCCCCCAGCCGCCCTTCCCGGAGACCCCAGGACGCTCGGCAGGCCAAGCGCAGGGGGGATTTCCGGGCGGCGGGAGGCTGGGCCGCTTCCCCCTCCGCGGGGCCCTGGCACGCTCCCCGCCCATCTCCGCCAGCGGTCCCAGTGTGCGCGCGTGCGGCTGCCTGTGGCCACCGAATTCATTCCCCCAACCACGTGGGCTGCGCGGGTCTCTGCTTCCTACGCGGTGGTCCTAGCAACTCTAGATCCCAGACCCGGGGTCTACTTCGTGGCAGGTACTAGGCATTTAAAAATCCAGTAACATGCTCTCAGGAGCTGGAGCGCCGGCCCCGTGCCGGGAGCGCAGGGCGGAGGAGGGGTCAACAGGAGAAGATCCCGGAGGCACAGCCGCCCCTCGCGCCCCCCGGGAAGCCGGGTGCTGGGAGGCCGAGCAGCTGGAGAAGGATGAGGAGGAAGGTGGGGGTGGACTTCCTGGCGGGGGCGGCTGAGTGAAAGAGCTCAGTCTGTGGCGCAAGCAGGGCAGCCACAGGACCCCATGTGTGTTTTAAACAAAATAAATAGTGAGCGGGATTAGCAAACTAGAGACGTAAACTAAAACACTGAGATCCTGTGCTGATCCGCTGGGGCTGCCATAACAAACTACCATAGACCAGGTGGCCTGAACAACGAGAGAAATTTATTTCCTGACAGTTTTGGAGGCCGGAAGTCCAAGATCAAGGTGCAGGCAACGTCGATTTTTCCAGGCTTCTCTTCTCACCTTGCAGGTGGTTGTTTTGTCCCTGTGTCCTCACGTGGTCTTTCCTCTGTGCCCACGCAGCCTTGGTGTCTCTTTGCGGTCCATATCCCCTCTTCTCATAAAGACACCAGTCACACTGGATGAGGGCCCACCCTAATGGCCTCATTTTACCTTAATCACTTCTTTAAAGGCCTATCTCCAAATCCCCACATTTTGACTGGGGATTAGGACTTCAACATACAAATTTAGGGACACTGGTTCAGTCCATAATGGATCCCGTATGCAATAAAAACGTCCATTCCTTCTCCTGGTGTTTCTCCTTTGCTCTCACACACTACCACACTCACAATGTTTAACATCTGACACCAGATGTGTGGGGTTTTTCCCCACATCGGGCAATTCTCTGTGACACCAGCTGGGTGTCCTACGATTCTTCAATTCTGATAGTAACCAGAGTTATTGAAGACCCCGCAGGTTAAGGGTTCAGTCCCATGAGACTGCCCCCATTTCAGATGCCAATCACAAGTAGGAGGTCTCCAGGTCACCCCAGGTTCTGCCAAGTTGGCTACAAATCAGAGGTTCCCATGACTTCCCCCTCCTTGGACTTGATAATCTTTGCTAGAACAACTCACAGAACTGGGAGAAACACTTACTTACATTTACCAGCTTTTTATGTAATAAAAAAATAGAATAAGGAATATAGATGAACAGCCAGATGAAGAGATACATCGGGCAAGTTCTGGAAGGGTCCCCAGCCCAGGAGCTTTTGTCCCCGTGGAGTTGGAGTGCACCACCCTCCTGGCACGTAGATATGTTCACCAACCCAGAAGCTCTCTGAACCTCATACTTTGGGGATTTTTATGGAGGCTCATCACGTAGGCATGATTAATTATTAACAATATCCAGCCCCTCTTGCCTCCCTGGAGCATGAGAGGTGGGACTGAAAGTTCCAAGCTTCAGGTGACCAGCCCCCATCCAGGAGCTATCGAGAAGCCCACCCAGAGTCACCTCATTAGAACAAAAGACACCCCTATGACCCAGGAAATTCTGATGGATTTAGGAACCCTGGGTCGGAAACTGGGGACAGAGACCAAATATTAGAACAAAAGATGCTCCTAGTACTCTTATCACTTAGGAAATCACAAGGGTTTTAGGAATTCTGTTCCAGGAACCAAAGGCAGAGACCACAAGACATATTTTCTATTATTTCGCAGCCCGCCCCCTTGTCTAGCCATGGAACACTTACAGCAAAACAATATGGAACTTGAAAGATACTGGCATGTTACAGAATCCTATGCCGTCAGCAATCACTCCAGTCCATCATCATATCATATGAAAGTGTCTGCCAGAGTGAAGCCGCTTAGGGTCTCGAGTTTCCATCTGATCTTGTCAGGTTCCAAAAGCATGAGTGGTCTTGGCACATATGGCTTCACCCTTCCAGGCATCTGGTATAATCGAGCTAACAGAGAATATCATCTCTTGCTCTGAGCCTCTTTCAAGGTGTTAATGTAATACTGGATTTCCCTCATGACATAATTCATTTAGCCATTACTTTACCCTTAGCTACTGTTCCTCCTTCTCTACATTGACACCCAAATGCTTCCACCTTTGGAAGGGACGTTAGGTTCAGCCACTGTGCTGGTCCAGACTGTAGGCAGCTATATTAGTCTAGCCGGTGCCTCCCCCTTGGTCCACAGAGGTTGAGGTCACACAGGTGCAGAACTGGCGGGCTATCTTTACCAGCATCACTATAGCTGCATTCACTGTCAATGCCAATTTTGTCAGAGGAGGTGAAGGCACATCCTGCCCCATCAGTCCCGTAGGAATTCTGACATAAGGTTTGAAGTATAGTTGCAATCTCTTATTTAGGAATCATCACTGTTTGGTGCACCTGTATTTGCAGCCCTGGTCATGGAACCAGGTAGGAAGAAAAAAGTTGTGATGATGTGGGGAAGAAAGAAAGAGAAAAAAAATGAGTTGTTATATGAGCATCCTCCTCCCTTGGGAAAAACTACATAAGTCTTACCAGCATTTCTCCCCACCCTGTCTTCCCCAGATCCACCAGAAAAACAGAGACATCTACCCAGTGGGGACACTCCTTTGGCCACACTCATACCTGCATTACACAGGGAGGAGTATAAGCCAGCTCTTTATTTGTCCCATTTTAAACAACTAATGCTTGCTCCAATTCTCTACCAAACTAGTACTCTGGACATTATGAGCTATAAAGTGGGGTCCTTGGTCTGAAGAAATGATGATCGGCCACCCAAATTGTCACAATATCTTCTGTTCCAGTTCTTTTATATTATTCTGAGCATTTGCATCTACCACTGGCTAAACAAAGCCCAGTCCAGAATCGGTGTCTATTCCCGGCAGGACCCATCTGTACCCCCCAGGGATACCAGCATTAGTCTCACTTGCCAGTTAAGATCCAGGCCTTCCCCCCAGGGAATCTGCCACATAACTATCTCCATTCTCTGTCTCTTGCTTGTTGACAAAACAGCTCTTATTGGCATTTTGTGCCTCAGGGGGTACAAGAGGACCATGTCCAGATTCAGCCCAACTCTGGCATTGCTGTAGGGACCCCATGTCCATTTATCTCATGGGCCCAGGTGGCAGTCACCTTAAGGGAACACATAGGAATCTCTGCTCATTAAGCTGTTAGGGGGTTCCAAGGATGGACATTGACGTGCCATGTCCTACTTTCAAGCACCCCTCAAATTTCCATAGTTATTTCCACGGGGCTGTGTCCCATATGGGCATCATTTTATTTATTTATTTTTAATTATTATAATTATTTTTTGGCCACGCTGTGCTGCATGTGGGATCTTAGTTCCCCGGACCAGGGATCAAACCAGTGTCCCCTGCAGTGGAAGCGCAGAGTCCTAACCATTGGACCATCAGGGAATTCCCTAGGCATCCCTTTAACAGGCCAGGTTTCCGTTGCCCTCCTGCCTGACCGTGAGTCTGTAGAAACCAAAACATAGGGAATTTCACCACTGCCAATTCTCCCATCATGGCTAGGAAAACAGCTTGCAGTTCAGCCCTCCAGACTGATCTGTTTTCACATTCTTTGATCACAGTGGTGGCGTTCCAAAGAGGAGGTTGTCTGTTCACCTTGGAACTGCTGTCCACAAACCAAGCATCTCCTTGTTGGTCAGTCGAGAGCTGTTAATAGGGCACTCACTGTCCAAGCGGTGGAATCCAGAGCTGCTCACACAGATCCGAATTCAGTCCTCGGAGAAGAGAGGCTCCCTCCTCGTGACGGTCTCCCCAGGCAGCACCATCTTGTGAAAACCATTTCCATCTTATGATGGAACTCTTCTGGGTTCTGCCATCCCGATTAGAGCATTTCTCTGACATCACCCTAGACGTAATGGGTATTTCAGGTTTTAAGATCATTTTATGTCCTTCAGTCATGGGGTAGCTTCAATTAATGTCTGAAAACAAGGTAGTAAATAACCCTGGAAACTCTCCAGTTGAAAGTCCCAGTAGTCATCACTGGGGGGTGCTCACAGGCTTTTGCCTTAAGCCCCAGTCTACAATCCACATAGGTCTACCGCACAGAGACTCTGTCCCTGCCAGCACCCCACCTTCTATTCAACGCTGTGTAGAGTCGGGCAGTCTTACTGGTTCCTGTTTAGCACGTCCAAGTAACCTTGCTTGAAGGGAGGATTTGCACACCTTCTGTTTCACAGTACTAGTTAGGGAAACATTCCCCAGTCAGATACAGTGTCAATCCCTCTAATTGCACTCAGGTAAAAGAGGCACTTCACAGAAAGTCTGATAGAGTATTCCAATTAGTAGAATTCCAGTTAGTAGAACTTTTACCTTAATTCAATCAACCCTTACATTCCTAGACCTGGCCTCCGCTGGGACTCCATCTACAGGTTTGGAGTTTACAATACCAGGGGAAATATTCCCAGCAGGACATAATATCCATTCCCATAAAACAATAGGTAAAGGAGACACTGCTTCTTTACATAAAGCCTGTTTAAACATTCCAACTTCCATAGTCTCATGAACTCTTGCACTTCTAGTTCTGTTTTCTCAATCTGATTGCCGCCAAGTCAGGGCTTCACCAACAGGTTTTGGTACCACAGTGAGTGGTGAGTGGGGCTCCTGTGTCAAGGAGTCCTGGGAAGTTCCCTTCTTCACTCCCCGACTGTTTCACCCACTGTTGTGCAAAAGGCTTTGGATCGGAGAAGATTCTGGGAAGATGGTGGAGTAGGAAGCACCAGGAATCTGTCTCCTCACCTGGACAACAATTGCACTGGCAGAATCTGTCTGATGGAACTATTCTGGAAGTCTGAGGGCTTACATCTTCCAGGGGAAGGCTTGGACAGTAAATGGCCATCAATTTCAGCTCTCAGTTCAGTAGTAGCTGCCCA